TGGTTGGCCTTTTTTTTTCTTTCGAGATTTTATATATGTCATCCCATTGCCTTCTTGCCTACATGGCTTCTGCCAAGTAATCAGAGATTAGTCTTATTGTTTCCTCTTTGTTTGTGACTTTTTGTTTTTCTGGAGCTGTTCTCAGGATTCTTTCTTTGTATGTGGTTTTAGCAAGTGTAATTATGATGTCTTGGTGATTTTCTTTTGGGGTCTATCCTATGTGGGGTTCATCGAGCTTCCTAGATGATCAGCATTTCATCTTTCATGTTATTAGGCAAGTTTTCTGTCAGCAAATCTTCAGTGATCTTCTCTGTGTTTTCCATCTTCTCCCCCGTTCTGGAACTCCAATCACACGCAAATTTTTGTTTTTGATTGTATCCCACATTGTTCTTAGGGTTTCTTGATTTTTATTCATTCTTTTCTCTTAATTTTCCTCAAACAAAATGGTATCCAAGAATATGTCTTCAATTTTGCTGATTCTGTCTTCCATTGTTTCAAATTTGCTCCTGAAACCTTCTATTGCACTGTCCATTTCTGAAATCTTGTTTGTTTTTTGGATTTCTAACTGCTGTTTTTGTATGATTTCTAGTTGTTTATTTATTTTAAAATTTTATTCCTGTATTATTTTCCTGAATTCTTCCATTGTTTTGTCTGTCTTTTCCATGATTTTGTCTTTTTTTTTCCTTATTTTTGTCTGTTTTCCTTCGTCTCATGGAGAGCCCTAAATATTAGATTTTTGAATTTTCTCTGAGGTAGTTCCACTGCCTTTTCTTCTACTGGAAGGTCATCTGGTGTTTTAATTTGGAAGCTTTCTGGTGCCATCCTGTCCTTTTTTTTATGTTTTGATATTGTCTTCTGTCTTCAGGACATTGAAGAATTATTTTCTTCATTAATTGTTTGTAGATTTGTTTGTTTTGTCCTGCTTTTATGTTTCATTTGGTTATGTCTGGGCAGGTGGGCTGGGTGTGCTTTGTTGCTTGCTCATCTGTGGGCACAGTACTTCTCACCACCTCGTCCAGGTGGGCAGGGCCAGTTACTCAGCTATGTGCATCAGGGCAGGTCCAGCAGAGGGGTAGGGATGGGGCATTTGCAGCACATACTGGGGTCGACAGTGTGGGGCAAGGGAGCAGTTCAGGGTGGGGTCCAGTGGTCCACGCCTATGCCGCTCAAGGGTGCAGCACTCAGCACACGGTGCAGGTGGACAGGTGGGAAGGGAGAAGATGTGAAGTGCATAGGTAATTGAGTGAGAGAAAGAAGAGAGAAACAGAAGCAAAGAAAAAGAAAAAGTGAATAAAATGGTGACGTGGTAGGATTTGGCAAGTGGGGGCAGTACAGACCTGGCAAGACCATGCACTGGTGGCTTTCTACCTGTGCATTGCAGCTCGACCTGTTAAGCAGGGGCATAGGCAATGCACAGGGCAAGGTGGGCTGGAGAAAGAGAAGAAAGAAAAAACAAAACAACAAAAAATAAATAAATATGGTACTGAGGGAGCTAGCCATTGAGGCAGGGCGGAATTAGGGTGGTGGTGAGTTGATGTCTCTCTCACCAAGCAGCGCAGCACGGCCCATCAAGAAGGGGCAGAGGCTGTACAGGGCCTAGATGGGAGGGAGAAGGAAAAGGGAGAAGGGGAAAGATAAAGAAAAATAAAAAATATGGCGCTGACGGAGCCAGCCTGTGGTGGTGGTGCAAACCTGGGGAGGCCATCTGCTAGAGGCTCTCTAGCCAAGCGGTGTGGCACAGACCATGAAGTAAGGGTGGGCACAGCACACACGGCTAGGTGGGCAAGAGAAAGGAAAGGAAGCAAGAGAGAGAAAGAAAAGAAACTGGAGAAAAATGGCACTGAGGGAGCCTGCCAGTGAGGTGGCACGGACTGGGGAAGCCATGTACTGGTGGCTCTCTAGCACAGTTGTGTGGCAAAGCCTGTCAAGAAGGGGCAGAGACAGCACGCGGTGACAGCTGGGCAGGAGAAAGGAAAGGAAGGAAGTGAGAGAGAGAGAAGAAACAAAAAAAAAAAAGCCAAAACAACAACAACAACAATAAAAATGGCACTGAAGGAGCTGGCCAGTGGGGGCAGGGCGAATCCGGGTGGCAAGGAGCTGCTGTCTCTCCAGCCAAGTGACCATGGCCCTTTAGAAAGCAGCAGAGGCTATGTAGAGGGAAGAGCGGTGGGGGGTGGGAAAGCATGTATCTCTGGTTACCGGGTACTCTGTCTCCTGTTGGGAGCTCCGTGAAGTTACCTTCCCGTATTCCCTGTCCACCGTTCTTGGTAGCTGAGGTCCAAGATGGTGAGTCCATGCCAAGTTAGCTGGTAGGGGACCTCCACTCTGTAGTTCTCCTTGTTCTCTGTTCTCTGTCCATTTCTTATTCCATTCAGTGCTTAGTTGAGTTCTTTATCCCTTTATCTGTCGCTTAGATTTCCAGGATTGACGTTTGTATCTGTTTTACTTAGTTTTTTGGGTCTTTGCTCTACAGGGATGGCATATTGCTTCTATCTATAGCACCATGTTGGCTCCACCCTTCGATCCTCCAACCTTTTGATTAGCAGCTAAGTGCATTAACCATTTACAGGGACTCCTCCCCTCAACCAGAGGGTCTCAAAAATCCCAGCCATCACCTCCCCCTGCACATTAACGTCTGCACTTTAACTTTCCTGGGGAGCATTAAAACACAATGATGCATGTGACCCCTGCCTTGCCCTCTCCCTGCCCCAAGATTCTGATGTAATTGGTCCATGGTATTACCTGGGTATTAGAATTTTTAAAAGCACCCCAAGTGATCCTCAAGTACAGCCAAACTTGAGAAACACTCCCTACATCTGGGGTCCTCAAACTTGAAGATGTATCAGAATCACCTGGAGGGCTTGTTAAAACACAGAGCACTGCTCCCCCACACCAGGGTCTCTGGTTCAGGGTATTCAGTAGGTCTGGGTATCGGCAGTCCCTGATTTATGAACAAGATCCTTTCCTAAGTGTGTTTTTAAGGCTAATTTGTAGGTAGGTTGGAACAGGTGCATACAGTTCTTATTTAGCCTTACTTTAGTGCTGGAAAAGGCTCAAAGCCTTTTCAGTGATTTAAAATCTGCACATGCAAGAAGTGAAGGTTATTGTGATGAAGAATCTGTTGCAAGTAGGGGTTGGTTCAATCGTTTCAAAGTGAGGGCAAATTTACATAACATTAAAGGGCAAGTTCGAGTTGTAAGTCTGACGTTTGTAACTGGGAGGTCTTACTGTATTCAGTAGGCCTGAGAATTTGCATTTCTAACAAGTTTCCAGGTTATGCTGATGTGGCTAGTCAGGCACCCCACTTTGAGAACCACTGTGCCTACATGAGCTCCTCTTCCCACCTGCCCTCTTCAAAAAAAATCTTGATTCAATTCAATTCCTTTTTTTCCTTCCCCCCACCAGAACCCTTTAAACTTTCTATATATTGACACAGCCTTAAATCCTTTTTCTAGAAGCAAACATTTCTTTCTTACTATGACATATTTGGAATATAAAATAATAATATCCACAAAAATGAGAAGTTCAACCAACACGGACAGTGTCTGAAGGGGGACCACGCGCCCATGACAGGTGTGTGGCGGAGGATCTACAGGCAGAGCCAACCTTCTCCTCAGGAGGTAATCTCGAACCTGCTCTGGAAAAGAGACCTAAGCATTGCTTGAGGCCAGTGCTCACTACCCCTCCTCCCACAACCCAGGACATCTGGCGTTCTGATCTTAAGATGATGGCCCCTTGATTAGGTCACCAAGTGAGAGCTGCAAAAGAGGCCCAGGGACCATGTGTCTGAGTTGCTGGGGGCTGCCTTAACAAAGTACTACAAACTGGGTGGCTTACAACAGCAGACATTTATTCTCTCACAGTTATGGAGGCCAGAGGTCTGAAATCAGGGTGTAAGCAGGGCCACATTCCCTCTGATGGCTCTAGGAGAGAATACTTCTTACCTCCTCCTAGGTTCTGGTGGTTGCTGGCAATCCTTGGTGTTCCTGGGTTTGTAGCTTCATCACTCCAACCTCTGCCTCTGTTGGCACATGGTGTTCTCCCTGTGGGTCTCTGTGTCCAAATTTCCCTCTTCTTATGGGGACACCAGCCACTGAATTTAGGCCCACCCTCATCAGTATGGAGCCCTGGTGGCGAAGTGGTTAAGAGTTCAGGCTGCTAACCAAAATGTCGGCAGTTCAAATCCACCAGCCACTGCTTGGAAACCCTATGGGGCAGTTCTACTCTGTTCTGCAGGGTCGCTATGAGTCGGAATCTACTGAACGGCACATAACAACAGCAACTAACCCAGTATGGCCTCATTTTAACTTGATTATATCTGCAAAGACCCTATTTCCAGAAGAAGTCACATTTACAGGTACCAGGACATAATTCAAACCACAACACTATCTAATCCAATCCCCCAGTTTACAGATAAGGTAGCTGATGGGAAGTGCCTTGCCCAAGGTCACACAGTTCTCAACAGCTCAAGGACTTAAACTCTACACTTCTAAGTTTAAGATCTTTTTCCTCCAACCCATGCCACCTACACCTTCCCTTGGACAATAGTTTCTCTTTTCCAAAATTTGATATACTAATGACATGTTAAAATGATATATACCAAATTCAGGATCGGATTGTGCTTACCTCTGGTAGGAAGGAAGAGACTATGATTAGGTAGTGTTACAGAGGAGGCTTTAACTGTATAGATGACATTTCATTTCATATGTCTTAAATACTTCAAAATTATGTTTAAAACCTTGATATATAACTCACTCTGAGCAACCTCAGAGTATAATTTTCCAGAAGCAAAATAAGGTGAGAGTAGGTTTGCCTTTTTTTTTTACTTTATACAAGTATTCTTTCTATGACAAGATTTATCCCAGGTTTTCTTTCTATGGGAAGTTTCCCAACACTAGGGCCATATTTGTAGATGAAAAAAAGTCCCTCCATAGTATAGAGATTTGGTTTGTCCCTCTGGCTTGTCACATGTGTGTTCTTATCTTCTATTTTGTTTTTAGCCCAGTCTTCTCAAGTGCACTGAGCTCTGTGTTCTGCAAATGGGACCTCCCTGTCTTCACCCTGCCTTTCAACATGGCGATAACAATGTACCTGGCGGCCACAGGACATTACAATCCCTTCTTTCCAAGCAAATTGATCACACCTGTAACTTCAGTTCCCAATGTCACCTGGACTGACCTCAGTGCCCTGGAGGTAAGGCTCATACCATCTTCTCACATTCCCCCTGCCTCTGGAACACACCCCAAGTGCCCTTGGTTAATTGGGTGAAAGAGTCCATTAGAGTCTAATAGGTACTCAGCTCTAGGTGACCTTGCCATCTAAAGATAGGGCACATGTTCTATTCCAGTTCTTTGGGAGTCTAAGAAATTTTTCAGTGACTGTTTGGTCAAAGCTAACTTTTTCCCCTCATCTTTTCCTAGAAATCTGCAGCACTAACCCCAGAGGGGCAGCTCCATCGAAAGCCAGGCACTCTGTTGATCAAGGCCATTGTCAGTGCAATAGAGTCAGTATGTGGAGGAGGAGCTAGGGAAGAGTGCTCAGTGTTCACCCTTCTCTGGTACTAAAGCAGATGAATGACTGGTGTTTTTTCTGTGGCTAAAAAGACAGAAAGAGAATTAACAAATTAGTAACACTAATTTTGAAAGACAAGATATACTAAATCTAAAAGTAAATTTTCTGTGTCCGTGGGTTTCTGTTCAGTTGTTTTAGTGGCCTCCTTTTTTAATTGCTTTTGCAGTTATTAAAATCTGTGCCCGTGGGTGTGGGTCAGATATATGGCTGTGACAACCCATGGACAGGGGGCATTTTTCTGTGCGCCATTCTGCTCTCCTCCCCAATCATGTTCCTGCACGCTGCAATCGGATCGCTGCTGGGGATAGCAGCAGGTAAGCAGAAGACTTCTTACCAAGTATTGAGCACCTCCTCGGTTCCATGCATGGTCTCAGGCATTTTCTATATTCCTTGGAGTCTCTGCTTCCAAGGGACCAATGGGAGTTCTCAGGATACTGTCTGCCCTGCCCCGACTCCATCCAGAATATCTTGCTGTTTAGTGCACAGCTCTGAGCCCTCCTGTCGTGTCTAATAGGGCTCAGCCTTTCGGCTCCATTTGAGAACATCTACTTTGGACTCTGGGGTTTCAACAGCTCTCTGGCCTGCATTGCAATTGGAGGAATGTTCACAGCGCTCACTTGGCAAACCCACTTCCTGGCTGTTGCCTGTGGTGAGTACCCCTGGCATCTCAGGGGTGGTGGGGGGGAGAAGACATGCTCATGACTATGGGACCAAAATCGAGGACAGTCAGTAAAAAAGGACTGTGAAGGGAAATCAGGACTGGGGTTCAAGTCTGTGGTCCCCGCTCTCTAAGTGTGTGACCAGGATAAGTGACTTCCCCTCTGGGCATGCTAAAGTCTGTTCTGCCTACCTTACTGCTTATTGTGAAGAGAGGCTGTTGACTCATATTAAACATTCTGTGGTTGTTGTTAGCTGCCACTGAGTTGGCCCCACTCATGGTGACCCCATGCACAACACAACAAACACTGCCGGTCCTGGTCCTGCACCATCACTGTGATAGGTTGTAGATTGGACCATTGTGCTCCATAGGGTTTTCATTGGCTGGCTTTTGGAAGTACATCACTAGGCCTTTCTTTCTAGCCCATCTTAGTCTGGAAGCTCTGTTAAAACTTGTTCAGCATCATAGCAACATGCACGCCTCTACTGACAGACTGGTGGTGGCTGCGCGTGAGGTGCGTTGGCCAGGAATCGAATCCAGGTCTCATCCCCCGGATGGTGGTGTTGTTGTTAGGTGCCATCGAATCAGTTCTGACTCAGCGACCCTATGTACAGCGACCCCTGCACAGAAGGGGAGAGTTCTACCATTGAACCACCAAATGTCATTAAACATTCTGTAGTATGTATATTTTGGAGGTAGAAACCTGATTTTTCCTGTGCTCTTCATACTAATTGTTTGACTCAAGAAACTAAAAGGAAATAACTCTGATTCGGTGCAGGGAGGTAGGGAAGGAATTCGCGTTTCTAACAGGTTCCCAGCTGGTGCTGATACTGCTGCCCCAGGGACCACACTTTGAGAACAGTTATATTAATCCTTTCTGATCCCCAGTATTCTAGCCAGATTCAGCCCATCAGCGCTAGAAGGGGTTCCAGAGATCCACACTCCATTCTTCCATTTTGCTATTGGGATACTGAGGCCAGAGAGGGTAAATCCTGTACTGGAGGGCAAGCAATGAAGGGTAAATCCAAACCTAGAATTCGCTACATGACTCTGCTTCCCTTTAGTAGCATTCAGGCCCTTATGGCAACCCCTTAGGTGAAGACAGAACTCCAGTGATGTGGATTTGAAACTGCTAATGGATTTCCCATGTTAATTATAAGGGGAGGCTTATTCACCTATAAAGCTCCCTGGGTGGCACAAACGGTTTGCATTCAGCTGCTTAATGAAAGGTTGACGGTTTGAACCCACCCAGCAGTGCCAGGGAAGAAAAGCCTGGCAATCTGCTTCCGTAAAACTTACGGCCAAGAAAACCCTATGGAGCTCAGTTCCTCACAGTAATGGGATCATCATGAGTCAGTATCGACTCGACAGCAACGGGTTTGGTTTGGGGTTTATTCACCCATAGCATTTTTATTTAATTCATTAATTAAACTTTAACTAGTATACGCTGTTCAGTTTGTTGTCTTTCTTGTATGCTGTTTGCTCTCTTCTGATGTCTCCTTTCCCCTTCCTGTGAGGCTTACATTTCCTTAGATACCAGCTGTGTGAGAGATGTGTCTCTGTAGGGGGCGTGAAAGCCCAGCACTGAGCTGACATTTCTCGTGGTACAATTGAGAAGTAAGGAGAAGGGGCAGTACATGGCCAAGTACAGAATTGCTGCTGTTAAGACAGTGGAGATAGCCAGGTGTAGGTAGTTTATTTAACCAACCCTCTTTTGCTGGAGAAGTTTAGATGGCTTCTAGTTTGGAGCTAAAACAGTACCACAGTGAGCATTTCTGCACAAACATCCTTGTGTACTTTGCAAAGTATTTCTGTAAGATAATTTCTAGAAGCAGAATTGATGGGTCAAAGGGAATACCAATTTTAATGTTTATAGATGCCACATTCATCTCCAAAAAGATCATACCAATTCCCGCTGCCACCAACAGTGCATGAGAGTTCCTGTTTCATCCACACTGGGTACTATTAGTCTTTTTCAATCTTTGGGCATGAATTTTTGAGACAGACCTTCAGCCCTCTTGTGAACCAAATCTCAAATGTAAAATGCCACAGCAGGTTTCAGCATGCCCATGTCACCCCGATACTGCCAAACAAAAGACCACCTTGTCAACCAAAGTCAATAAATAACATTTATTTCACAGCTGTTCTTTTGTAGTTCCAAATGTCTTTAACAGAAAGAGGACTTGGGAAGCTCTGATAGAACCTGGCCATGTTGCCTGCCCTGTGCCTCTAAACCAGAAATGGCATGATCAGGGAATTTCTCAATTTTGTTATTTTATCAGTGCAAACTGTAAACACATTTTGCATCTCTTTTTAATGGTTGGGTTATATAGTAGAACTTGCACCTGGCAGTCTGTTGGAAGGAACATTGTGAACGATGAGCTAAAATCCAGTCTTCCCTCCAGCACTCAAGGGTCTTTGCTTTCCCTCAATAGATAATGTAGGCTCATTGCCTACAAACTGAGTGTGGTGCACAGAATTTTACCTCTAATGTAAAGCTTTCCCAGTCTGACTCAGCAAGTCTTCATTGATGGTCACCTACTGTTGAATAGTCTGACACTCTTATTATGAAGACAAAAGCAACTTGCAATTGGAGATCACTTCAAAACAGTGTGACAATATGAGTCATAAAAGTGCCTTATAAGTGCAATAGGCGTTAAAATGAGAGAGATGGCAATAACGCGTCATGTGCTCAGAGGAGGTGTTGTGGAAGAGCTGGGACTCAGGAGGACAGGCACAGAGTGTCCCCGGTGCTTAGCAGAGGGCCAGTGAATATTCAAATATTTGTTGAATGACTGAAATGAGAAAAATAAATGAAACTGGGCAAAACCAAGACCATGAGAGCCTTCTGTTCAGAGCAGTATCTCAATCCTATGGTGACAGAGATGAGCTTACAACTGCTGTCCATGGAAATACATGAGCTCATTTGGGATTCATCACCTCCCTGTCAATCAAGTCTTCAGGTTGCCATATGACAGATGATGAAATTGGGGTTCAGAGAAATGCAGTGATTTGTTATACAGCAAGTAAAGACCAGCTCTTCTCACTAGCATAAGATAATTCAGATAAGGAAGAATTCAATACTATTGAAGAAGACATACCAGGATAAGAAGACAAAATATTGATCAAATGATGGAAGTCTATAGTAAAGTAAGTGAAGATCATAGAGTCCCTCTCGCCATTTCCTGCCTCTTCCCTACGGTAAAACCAAAAAAATTCCCACTCATGGCAGCCTTATGTGTATCAGAGTAGAACTGTTCTCCATAGGACTTTCAGGGCTGTGACCTTCTGGAAGCAGATTGCCAGGCCTTTCTTCTGAGGTACACCTGGGTGGGTTTGAATCACCAACCTTTCGATTAGTAGTTGAGCGCTTAACCACTTGTACCACCCAGGGACTCCTTCACCCAAGGTAGATGATGTGATTTCTCACCAGGACATGAAGACTAGATGGTGGGTGGGCCTATCAGTGAGTGCTGGTGTCTTGAGTGGCTGTGTGGCCATTATATGAAAGTCACTCTTCTGCTGCCCTTGTGAAATCTGAAAACTTCCCTGAACCAAAAGGTTGGCAGTTCAAATCCACCCAGTGGTTCCACAGAAGAAAGACCTGGCAATCTGCTTCCGTAAAGATTATAGCCAAGAAAACCCTGTGGGGCAGTTCTACTCTGTCACACATGTTGCTGAGTTGGAATCTACTCCACAACACCCAACAACAACACCACTTTGAAAGTCACACTTACACTCAAATTACCCATACTACAATTTTTACTTCCTCAAAGTAAATCAAAACATGGCATGTTTATTCCTTGATCTCTGTGCCAACCTTAATGGTGTTTGGAAAAATGCCATTGTGGAGAAGAACCCCAGGTTTGTGTTCAGTTGCTGCTGATCTCTAGTTGTTATTTCATACCATGATTTTTTGTAACTGCATATTCTAACCATTAATACTAGAATTCAAGCCCTAGTGGTGCAGTGGTTACGAGCTTGGCTGCTAACCAAAAGGTCGGCAGTTCAAATCCACCAGCCACTCCTTAGAAACCTATGGGGCAGTTCTACTCTGTCCTATAGGATCGCTGAGTCTGAATTGACTTGATGGCAATGGGTTTGAATACTAGAATTCTAGATGCATTGAGATTATATGGAAACCATGCTACCTCAGGAAACACCCATAAATTTTAATTCAGCTATGCTTGGGTAAAATAACCAGGAGGTTATTTGCCATAAGCATTAGCAATAACAACAGCAAAACAGTAACCACAGACACACTACCTTTACTGAGTACCCATTGTGTGCTAAGCACATACATCATCTCCTCTAATGCTCACACCTACCTAAGAGGGAGATAATCCTTTTACCTCCATTCTACAGATGAGGAAATGGAGGTAACCAAACCCATTGCCATGGAGTTGATTCCAACTTATATCGACCCATAGGACAGAGTAGAACTGCCCCATAGGGTTTCCAAGACTGTAAATCTTTATGGAAGCAGACTGCCACATCTTTCTCCCATGGAGCTGCTGGTGGATTTGAACCACTAACCTTTTGGTTAGCAGCTAAGAGCTTAACCACTGCACCACCAGGGCTCCTAATGGAGGTTTAAAACAGTTAAATAACTTGCTGAAGGTCACCAAGTTCCTAATCGGTGGAGCCAGGATTTGAACCCAGGGCTCCTGACTCTAAGTTCATACTTGTAACCACAATGCTGGGCTAGCTGGTGAAGGGAAGTATACATGCCAGACCATTTGTATTGGAAGGCAATCTTTCCTGTGATGAAAAGTGTATCTACCAAGGATTGTTCCTTTCGTTTGCAGCCCTGTTCACCGCCTACCTTGGAATCAGCATGTCACAAGTGATGACTGTGGTGAGTTTGCCTTACTTTCTCTTTCTCAGCAGCATGATTGATTTTAGAGCTCTCAACTATAGAAATGCCCTCCTGATGTCCACCTGGGTGGTGTCCAGTGACAAGATCCATGACTGTGATAACCAGTACTTTCCCTTCTCCTGGACCCATCTGTCCTCTCTTACCTTCCAGCATCAACAGTAAACTTTAGTCCAAACCACCATCACTGAGCTTGTTAAAAATATGAGGTAGCTTGGTTTAAAGAAGTGAAACTTAGGTTGTATAACATATTATCAAGTTGATAATCTATCTCTGAGAGTCAAGAAGCTGACTGTAGGATTTTGTTCTTTAAACAGAAAGCCAAAACTATATATCTGAGAAATCAGGAAAGGGAAAAAAAGGAGAATCAGCTAAAGACCCAGATATGTTTAGAAAAAACAAAAAAATCTAGTCAAATGTTTTTTGTGCCTATTGGCTTTTTTAAATCCCCAGTCAGTCATCAATGGGACTTTATTCAGACCCAGATCCTGGCTGAATTATTTAGTGGGCAAAACCATTGCCCATTGCCTCCTGCCATACTTTTTTCCTCCTTTGCAGCACTGTCTTCCTGCCCTTTGACCTTCTCCTTCCTCTCCCCCAAGGAGCTAAGTGTCCTCATGTTCTAGGATCTCCGACCTCCCAATGGGATATCCAAGCTGGGTCCCATGCTCTGTGTCCCAAACTTTTCTCTCTCTTCCCCACACACTATTGTCTGTACTGGGCCAGTTTCTGGTAATTCAATCCATGTTGATGTGCTCATGGCTTCAAAGCATTATCTCAGCAGCAGTGTAGAGATTTTACCTGGGAGAGTCCTTAGGGGGTGCAATATCTTTACAGTGGAAAGTCCACACCACATGACCAGCATGATGGGGGCGATACATTAGAGCATTGTGGAGCCCTTCACATTCCAACAAAGGTTCACAAACATCTGTCCATGATCAAAACCGGGCAGGCTGCACAACGGAGTCAGCTGGGGAGATGTTGAAAACTACAGATCCTTAGGCGCCAACCCTTGGTGTTTCTGATACAGTGGGTCTTCTGTCTAAGTGGGGATTAGACATCTGTATTTTTTAAAACTGCACTCTATCATGCCTCAGCGGCTCCATGCATAAGGCCAGATCTGATCAAGTACATAGTGTGTGCTCAGAATTGCATGAGCTGCCATGGACAGCCCAGAAGAAGGACCTACCCTCAAGGACCTTAGAGTCTATTAGGGGGACAGAATGGAAAGAAATGAAGCAAAATAGAGACCAAGACCTAGCCTGGGTGAAGGTCAAGGAGAGAGAAGTTACCATGGGCTGGGCTAAGAAGAAAAGGCCTTGTGGGCATGATGTGTGGTCAGGGGCCGTTAGCGGTTTGCTCAGTGTCAGCTCTGTTTGCACATCTCGTGTAGGAAGTCTGATTGTATGAGAGGGAGGGAAAGACATACAACATGGAAACATAGCTGACCACCCTAAAGAATGGATGGAAACATTTCAACTGCTACCTGCTCTGACATCTTAGATTCAGTCCCGTGGGCACAAGCAGAGTAAAAAGCCATTCCCCCATGACTCGTCCCTCTGGGCTGAGTGACAACACAGGGATGGGAGAGGTTTGAGTGGGTTAGCTTTCCATCCAGTGGGATCTCAGAGGAGTGTGTGGCTTGTCTCTTTTTTCCAGGTTGGACTGCCAGCTTGTACCTGGTCCTTCTGTTTGGCCACACTACTATTCCTGTTGGTGACCACGGAAAACCCCAACATCTACAGGATGCCCCTCAGCAAAGTCACTTATCCTGAAGAAAACCGCATCTTCTACCTGCAAGCCAAGAAAAGGATTGTTGAAAGCCCTTTGTGAGAACAACACTCATCCAGAGCCATGGTCATGAGTCGTTTCTGACTGGCTGCCTCAGTTGACTTCTTACTTTCCCTAGTAACAACTTCATACTAATTTGTTGGCAATCTGTTCTTGTGCCCATTTTTCTTTTAGACTCCAGGGGACACCCCCCAGCATATAAGAGACATCTGCATGCTCTGGGTACGGAATTTTAAACCCCAGTGGGAGCTGGAGCTGACTAAGATATAATGTATTTATAAAGTCAAAAGGCATCAACAGAGAAAGCAAGTGAGACTGGAGCTAATTATTGATATTCCTGGTGTCTGGTCAGCTGGATGATGTTAACAGTATTAAAAATTAAGCTCTATAAACCAACAAAGCCTTAAGTGAATGGAATTCACAGTCGCAAAATCAAAGTCAGCACAGAACTTGCAAATCAGCAGGGTTTTTTCGTTTTTCGTTTTTCAGTCAATGCAAGTTACACATTATACCTGTGGTTGACATCGAGACGGTGTGGGCTGATGCTGTTCCTCAGTTCTTCCATGGCCTCAACACTGTCCATTATGTGCAGGACGTTCTCTTATTCAGGAGATCGTTGGGTTTTTTCAGGCAGATGGAGCTGCAGAAGGGAGAAAGGGATTTTGTCAGTCAAAACTATTCTGCAATTGCCATTTTTCTTGGATATTGCCAAGAATTTTTTAAATGAAGCTTTTTTTTTTTCTTTTTTTTATGAGAATGGAGTTGCTTCAATAAAATAAGAGAAGTTCCTGACTTAACCAGCTTTTAGATATTAAAGAAAAGTTGCACATTTCAAAAACATTCAGCATAGCAACAAATGCATCTAACCAAGTCATCAAGATCCATTGTCCCTTTTTTATTTTTTATGTTCCTTTTTTAAAAATTTTTATTGTGGTAAAATATATAGAACAAAGCATTTGCCATTTCAACCATTTTAATATGCACAGTTCAATAACATTAACAACATTCACCATGTTGTATCCATTGCCATTTTTTCAGTTCATTTGAGAATGTCTTATATGTTATAAAGTCTGAAGGTTGAGATCATATTGCTTATGAGTATTATTAGAAGTTGTTGAATTTCTTCCTAAAAAAAAACAACTCATTATTTTCTGCACACAATATTCTCTCTCAGATACCAATGATATTTGAACCACCAAAAAGAATACAGGTAAGGAATTCTCCAGATCTTTTTATTATTATTATTTTAAAATTATCAACTCTATAAGGAGCCCTGGTGGTGCAGTGCTTAAAGCTCGACTACCAACCGAAAGTTTGGTGGTTCGAACCCACCAGCCGCTCCACAGGATAAAGATGTAGCTGTCTGCTTCGATAAAGATTACAGCCTTGGAAACCCTATGGGGCAGTTCCCTGCTGTCCTTACAGAGTTGCTATGAGTCAGAATTGACTCGATGGCAACAGGGTTTTACAGATTTTATCAACTCTATAAAAATTCTATTACCAAACACGCTGAAGACGGTGGTGGAACGTTACGCTTACTACTTTCCGCTTACGTATGTGCCAACTCAGTAACTTGGAGGACTGGAGACCTGAAACTTTGAAATCTTGAAGGTTTTTTCCTCTTTGGTTTACAGCACTCAGTGCCAGGTACCTGGTTTGCTGAGTAATCAACAGAAGCCGAGAAAGAAACCTATAAATTTTGAGGGAGAACTTGACTTCTTCCTTTTCTCAGGAAAACAAACATTAATCCAATTTACAAGGCCTGTAACCAAAGCCTTTTGAAAACCATGAATTTGCAAATTATGGATACTCCTGTCGAAAATGTAGATTTTCAGTGTTTGAACTGAAGTCTCCCCTGTCAGGGATATTGTGAAATAAGAGTTGAGGGAAATAAAAAAGCAAGCACAACCAAAGACAACCAGGAATGAGGAATCTATGCGGTGGTGATGTGAACCACAGTGGCCCACAGTTCATCCTCAGAAAGGAGTTCTAGCACCTTCTCATGATGTGCTCACACAGATGTATAAATAGGAACATTTTAAAACCTTGTACATTGTGTAATTTAAATGGTATTAGTTTTCTCAAGCTATTTTTGTTATTAAGTATTATCCTAAAATTAAGTGTTTTATTGATTTTCTTAGCAAGTACTTGTATTTTTCCTGTGGTCTGTATAACAAACTTCTATGTAAGTATACTAATAAATTATACTCAAAGCACAGTTTCCTGTAAATTTTGTTTAAAAGTCACATGTGCCTTTTTTTAAATTGTGCTTTAAGTGAAAGTTTACAGTTCAGGTTAGTCTCTCATACAAAAATTTATACACACATTGTTATGTGACCCTAGTTGCTCTCCCCATAATATGACACCACACTCCTCCTTTCCACCCCGATTTGCTGTGTCCATTCAACTAGCTTCTAACCCCTTCTGCCCTCTCATCTCGCCTCCAGACAGGAGCTGCCTGTCTAGTCTCATGTATCTACTTGAGCTAAGGAGCACTCTCTTCATGAGTATCATTTTTTGTCTTATAGTCCAGTCTAATCTTTGTCTGAAGACTTGGCTTCGGGAATGATTTCAGTTCTGGGCTAACAGAGAGTCCGGGGGCCATGACTTCCGGGGTCCCTCCAGTCTCAGTCAGACCGTTAAGTCTGGTCTTTTTACTAGAATTTGAGTTCTGCACCCCACTTATCTCCTGCTCCCTCAGGGAATCTCTGTTGTGTTCCCTGTAGGGGTAGTCATTGGTGGTAGCCAGGCACCATCTAGTTCTTCTGGTCTCAGACTGATGGAGTCTCTGACCTATGTAGCCCTTTCTGTGTCTTGGGCTAATACTTCCCTTGTGTCTTTGGTGTTACTCATTCTCCTTTGCTCCAGGTACGTTGGGACCAATTGATGCATCTTAGATGGCCGCTTGCAAGCTTTTAAGATTCCAGACGCCACTCACCAAAATGGGATGCACAACATTTTCTTTATAAACTTTGTTATGCCAATTGACTTAGATGTCCCCTGAAACCATGATCTCCAGACCCCTGCCCCTGCTACTCTGTCCCTCAAAGTGTATGATCATATTCAGGAAACTTCTTAGCTTTCGGTCTAGTCCAGTTATGCTGACCTCCCCTGTATTGTGTGTTGTCCTTCCCTTCACCTACGATAATTCTTATCTACTATCTGGTTAGTGAATAAGAGTCTCCCTCCCTCCCCACCTTCCTAACCATCAAAGAATGTTTTCTTCTCTGTTTAAACCTTTTCTTGAGTTTTTATAATAGTGGTCTCATACAATATTTGTCCTTTTGCCACTGACTAAATTCACTCAGCATAATGTCTTCCAGATTCATCCATGTTATGAGATGTTTCGAGGATTCATCTTTGTTCTTTATTGTTTCATAGTATTCTATTGTGTGAATATACTATAATTTGTTTATCCATTCATCTGTTGATAGGCATCTAGGTTGTCTCCATCCTTTTGCTATTGTGAACACTGCTGCAATGAACATGAGTGTGCATATATCTATTCTTTTGACGGCTCTTATTTCTCTGGGATATGTTCCAAGGAGTGGGATTGCTGGATCATATGGT